ACTGCCAGAACTGTAGAACTACAACATGCAAAGAAATGGCTGCCCTCTCTTCTCTCTCTACTCTCTGGCCTCCAGGGTGGTGCAGGTGGGATCAGTTCTCCAGGCAGAGAGAGAACAAAGGACACAAAATGAATCTGGGGTGGGAACAGAACAGAACCACCATGGTTCTTCTCACTCAATAGCCTGTTCTTCCTAATCAAGGTCTGTTTATAAAGAATGACTGGCACCTGTGTCTATGACTGACTTGATGGCAAGGACAAGCTGGGCAGAATAGATCGGTCCAAAGTCATGGAAGGAGAGGGGCTGTGGAAGAGGTGGTTACTTAACCATTTTTCTTTGGCCACAGGAGATTCATATCGAACCAATGCAGAGCTCTCCGTGGAGCAGGAACAGCGACTCAGGAACAACCTCATCTGAAGTCATCACTACACGCTCCCAGCTCTGCCCACACACTAGATACCTCAGCTTACTGGAGCCATGCCCTTCACAGAGCTCTGACTCAGAGGAAAAAGGGCTAGTGCCAAGTGGCACCAAGAATCTGCTCAGGAAGCCTTTTGACGGCAAGATCACCAGGCTGGGTGGTACTGCTTCCTCAGGATGGCTCTGGGCTTGTCCCCTGAAGACCTGTGGCCCACATAATATGGCCTCCAGGCTGCAGTCAGCTAAGCTCCTCTTCTGTAAGGGGAACCAGTTTTTTCCTCAACTTGCTGCAGTTCCTTAGGGATGAGCTGTGGTCCACTCCCCCATCTAAGTGGTGCTTTCCTAATGTCCTAGAGGAGCAGAGGATAAAGGACCATAGTATACAGAAAACAGAGTTAGTTCTCTGATAGGAGCTCAATGAGACACAACTGTGTCAAAGTCACACTAGAGAAGTGAATTGGTGAATGCAGTCTCTTGCTTTACCTGTTTTCCTCTAGGACTCAGCGCTTATCCTCTGCGAAGTGTCTGTTCCTTAGTGTCTTTTCCCTATCACATATTTGGGCGTTTCTTATACCCCTATAAACTCAGGCTTCTGGTACCCGCCATCATCTCCTGATGGGTCAATACCCCAGTTACTGAGGCTTGAGAAGGGACAAATTTCATAAAAGTAGCACAAGAGGACCCTCTTATAGAACTGCAAGCCATCAAGCAGAAAAGGCACTGAGGTGCTATAGACTCTGTCTTTGTCGGGGCCTCTTGCCAAAGAAAACAAGGTGTCCTATACCTGGGGCAATCCAGTATCTTTCAGGATCACCACACACCTAAGTTGCCTTGTTTTTTAGTTTTTTTTTTTTGGGGGGGGGTCTTTTATAGCTTTTTTTCCCCAGAGCTGAGGACTGAACTCAGGGCCTTGCGCTCGCCAGGCGAGTGCTCTTCCGCTGAGCTAAATCACCAGCCCCCACCACACACCTTAGGATTGGCTTAAATTTCAGGTTTTATCCAAGTCAACTGTGCCTTGAGTAAATATTTTACAACAGAAAGAACCTATGTTAAAGAAGACACTATAGAAACACAAAGTCAGATCTGGTAGAAGAGACTATGGAGAAAGCAGAGGGGGAACATTAAAAGAATGAACCTAAAAAAGGCCACCACCCCTACTTGATGTGGTTGCTATGCTTTTGCTCAAGTGGTTTAAAATCATATAGTCTTTTCTTGGATATAACTCTTGACCCTTTCTCCACTGACTCACACCTAAAGAAATGATCCTCCACTGGGAATGTGGCTTAGTGGTAGAGTGCTTGCCTAGCATGCATGAAGCCCTAGGTTCAATTTCTCAGTACCACATAAATAGAAAAAGCTGGAAGTGATGTTGTGGCTCAAGTGGTACAGTGCTCAGGCCCTGAGTTCAAGCCCCAGGACTGGCAAAAAAAGAAAAGAAAAGAAGAGAGAAGAAAAGAAAAGGAAAGAAAGAGAAAGAAAGGAAAACAAAGAAGAAAAGAAAGAAATGATCCTTATAGGTCTGACATCCTAATGCCAATAAAGGTTGTTCATTATGGACTCCTACCAAGGCAAGACCAGCTGTGAGTCTGTGGTTTCCAGTACACTAACTCTAGTTTTTATTCCTCCCTTCAAGCTGGGAATGAGGATGTGCTAGGAAAGAGGATGTACGGGGCATAAAGACTACTCATGAGAGTTCTACCCCATATGCTTCTTTACGCTGGTATTAGCCTACTCTGCTCCCCAGTTATCCTCCCCAGGTTCACACTGAAACACAGGTCAGAGGGCAAAAGGCAGGAGAGAGAAGGTAAGATCTAAGGACTATAAACTTTTATAACACAGGCTACAAAAACAAAATAAATGGTAGCAGACAGAACAGACTTATAACAGTACTCTTCTCCCCACTAAGAACTATCCCAACACAGGGAGTTAACAGGAACATGTCTTGGGTGCCTTCTGTGAATACAAAGAAGTGCTTTCTTCCTTCCTCTCCTCCACTTTCTTTTGCACTACTCCCTCATCTCCTTTAGGCAAAGTAAGGGAACCTATTTTGGCCTGGCAATTTAGGTAAACAAGGGAAGGACTGATTTCCTGTTGGATCTAGCAAACATCTCCTAAACAGTAACAACATTATACTCACACATTCAGCTAATGGTCTGTGAAAGAATGTGCAGCTCGCAGGGCCAAGTGTGGTGACTGATGACTAGATGCAGGTAGGGAGGTTCCCTCGGCTTCCTGCTCTATCTAGTTTCTAAGAGGCCAGAAAAAGCAGGCCAAGTCGACAGCACTGGCCTTAGTCTCAGTCTTGCTGCCCACATCACATGTTTGATAGGTGTGGCCACTTCTAATTCTTGGAAAAAGCTATACAAGGGTTGTGCTGTTACAGCTTGTTGAAAGGGAAGGACATGGGAAGATTGGTGGCTGGCATGACTTATAACTAGATGAGGAATGTTAACAGAATACTGACCACTGAATTCCAGACAGAGTAAAAAACCTCAGAAGACTTTCACGACACATTTTGGCCTCAGAGAAACTGAAGCGCTAGGAATCTCAGCTTACTCTGTAGAAGCTAACCCACAAACTTTCACTCTATGAAATTAGAACTCATTTTTATTATAAATTCCAGATAATCCTGGGGTATAGATGTTTGACACACATGAATCATATATGTACAGCAGAGTGTATAAGCTGTCTTCCCAAATAGCTAACATTTTCTTTTAAAGCAGCCATACTGTATAAACAGATCTACTTATCTTAGTTTGTTCCCTGAGCCTGTAGCAGCCTATAAGTGTTTGCTAGCAAATCCTATTTGTGAAGGCTTGGTTTAGACTTGACTAAGGAATAGTCATTAATGGCCAGTATACAGCAGCTCAAACTACTAGAATATTATAAACTCAAAACTTGGTAAATACAGCAATATTCTAAATTCAATATTCTAAATTCAGATGGTTCTTAAAAAAAATCTTTTCTCTGCTATAAAACTGAGAGGCTGATTGTGAGCTGAAAAAAAAACACAAGTTTTTACAACACTATATTAAAATGGGAACAAATATAACTTCTTAAAATTATGAGCATTACAAAGAAACTGGAGCCGAGTGCCAGTGGCTCATGCCTATAATTTTAGCTATTCAAGAAGCTGAGATCTGAGAATCACAATTTGAAGCCAGCCTGGGCAGACAAGTCTGACAGAATTTTAGCGCCAGTTAACCAGCAAAAAGCCAGAAGTAGAAGTTTGGCACAAGTGGTAAAACACCAGATATAAGTAAAAAGCCAAGTGAGAGTATGAAGCCCTGAGTACAACCCCCAGTACCAGCACATACACACAAAAAGAAATGCAAACTGGATATAATAAGCACACATTACCATTAGCAATGCCTTGAAAGGCAACTTACAGTCAGAAAGGGGATACACCCTCAGAGGTAAGTGATAGGAACACTTATTTTTTCCTACACACAAGGTCACTCTTAGGTTAAGACAATTAAAACATCAGCTGGGGATGTAGTTCAATAGTAGGGTACTTGCCTAATGCAGAAGGCTCTGAGTTTGATCACCAGCACTTGGGGGGAAGAACCAAAACAGAGCAAAGGCATCTCAGAAATATGCCATTCAGTATGAAGTCATGCTGTAACTTCCTTCCCTCAATTTTCATTCAAAGAAGCTACACTATTGCAATAGACCTATATTATCTTAGAGGTATTTGTTCCACAAAGACAAGAGAAATGAAGTCCGACAGCTATAAGCCAAAGTCAGAAAGAGTGTCAGAAGGTCAAGAGAATGACTTATTTATTCTTCCAAACTTGACATGGAAGCATTGATCATAAACAATGGCCAGGAATTAAGACACACAATGCTGATGAGTGGGGACTAGAACTGTAGCAGGAACAGTTAGGCCAGGCCTAAGACCCAAGGCCATTTAAGGTATATTTGAACAGAGTCCCACCCCACCATGTTCTATAGCTTTTTCCAAGAATTAGAACATGCAAAGAATCGATCATTGTTATGAGTACTAAACCATAAAATGAAGAGGCTTTGGCTTAGTCCAAAGCCCAAAGAGATACTGTTACTTCTGTTCTTTAATGGCCTAGCACTTCTTCAGTGCAGAACTACTTTCTAAACACATTGAAAAAGCAGGTATGAGGTAGATAGAGCCTGAGTTGGTGGCTCTGTCCTGCCTGTGTCCTTTGGAGAATCTCTCACTGCCTAGAGGTATTTATTTCATCCTGGCTGCTTCTCACTATAATGGATGGCCTGGTGCTGCTTGCCAGGTGCCTCTGGCACAAGCTGAAAAGATCATACCAAGAACGTGCTGTGTGCCAGATGTTTCCTGCAGGATGTCAAATTTGACAGAAAAGGGGGAAGATAGGAAGTTGGGGTGCACAAGGAGGTCAAGGTCAGAGAAGCTGCAACCTATCAACTCAAAGATAAGTCAGGGGCAGAGAAATGGTCAGCATTCCACTCACTGGGGTTCAAGAAAAGCAACAGATCGATTTAAACCATGCATGGCATTATAGGCATGAAAAGGAGAGGTGGTCTCCTGTTTTATTTTTTGTGGGAAAGACAAACTGATAAATACCAGGATGATGTATGTCATAAAATGGCCTTTAATGTCTCCCTCTTACAACATATTGCTGCTTAAATTGGAACTGGCACACAGCTCCTCAGACTGGCTTCCTATGAGAAGAAAGCTGGCAGACCCCTGGCTTAAGTGCAGCTGGAGCAGCCCCAGGCACTGAGATCAGTATGAACTCAGGAGTCCAAATACCCATAGCTGCTGCTGTTCACCATCATTGGAGTGCTGGAACTGGCAGAGTAAGTCTGTGTATGCCAAGTACACCAGTCATTCTTCTTGTTGTTGTAACTGCTCCCCCTACTTGCCCCAGTATTACTATACTTGGCTTTGTGAGGTACTAAGGAACATTCTGCCTTTACAAAGTCTCAATCTCCCATCACTACAGGTTTGAATCCTCTGTTGTGCTCTTCTTTTGCTTTAGACCTCTTGGGAAGTATGAACCATACAAACACGATGCGTACACGACCCTTTCCAAAGGATTCTTGGATGGCACATCTTCCATGTTTTGATAGTTCCCTTCTGTATCTACCATGGTAGGAAAAGTCGCAAAGAACTGCAACTAGGAGTGAGCACAGGATTTTACCTTCTCTCTTAGCCCTGTCAGTCTTTGTCTTGACCACTTTTTCTTTTTCTTTAACATGTACCTCAGCATGTACACAGCTCTAGAATGATCCTCTCATTTGAAGACTATGAAACATTTGCTAATGCATGGGAATTTATCCTTTTCATTAAGCAATGTTCAAACTGCAGACAGGTCTCTTCCTTCCCAGATGTCTTCCCGTTGTTTGGCTTCCAACCGCTTTCTCTCTGTAAATAAAGCATAGTGTTAAACATGATTGTATACTTCAAAAGACTAGAATCCAAATTGCAAAATACTTTAATCATAAGACAGGTAGACCCTGATCCTAAGGGTTAATTCTTTTCGTTGTCCATGTGTTTTGTTGTTTTTTAACTAGAAATACACACTACTAAATCATTTTTGTTTCCGTGTGTGTGTGTGTGTGTGTGTGTGTGTGTGTGTATGTGTGTGTGTTACAGTAACAGTACTGAGGATCCAACTTGGGGCATTGAACATGCTAAGCATACCCTCTACCAACTCTACCCACCATGTCTCTTATGTAGTAAAAAAGGGCTAATAGAAATAAAAAGTACATGAAACATGCAAGGCACACACTTTTCATCCCAGCTATACAGGAGGTTGAGATAGGGGTGGGGGAGAGTAGAATCACAATTCCAGGTGAGCCCAAGCAAAAAAGTTTATGAGAACACATCTCAACAGAAAAAGCTGTGTGTGGTGGAATATACCTATCATCCCAGCTACAAGGGAAGGGTAAATAGGAGGATCACAGTTCATGCAGGCCCAGGCAAAAGCAAGACCTATCTCAGAAATAACCGAAGTGAAAGGGACAGCAATAAGACTCAAGCAGTAGAGCATGTGCCTAGCAAGTGCAAAGCCCTAAGTTCAAACCTCAGTACCTCTGTAAAGATAGAGCCTGGTGCTGGTGGCTCACGCTTGTGATCCCAGCTACTTGAGAGACAGACCTGAGAATTATGGTTCAAAGCCAGCCTGGGATAGAAAAGCCCATGAGACTCATCTTCAATTAACTACCAATAAACCAGAAGTGGAGCTGTAGCTTAAACAGTAGAGTACTAGCTTTGAATGAGAAAGGTCAGGAACAGTTTCCAAGCCATGAGTTTAAACCCCAGGACTGTCACATGCATATGTGCATATAAGCATGCATACACACATGCATACATACACACACAATCAGAATCTAGCAAGACAGATTTTTTGAGTCTTGCTAGTATTTATTTTACTTCTACTTTTCTGACCAATACTTCAGAATAACTTCACATTATTCTTAGTGCACTGCTGTGTATGAATGTTTCAGTAAGGATTAAGAATATGTTTTAATATTCCCCTTCCACTGTGTTGTTTAAATTGAAGTAGCAGCCATTGGGTTCCCCTCATTATTTCCCTACTACAAACTTCTTGAATAAATATTTCAGAGGCAAACCAAATTTTTGCAGAATACTTCTAGGAATCAAAAATCTTCAAAAAGGGCTGGGAAGGTGGCTCAGTGGTAGAGCACTTGCCTTGCATGCATGAGGCCCTGGGTTCGATTCCCCAGCACCACATAAGCAAGAAGAAAAAAGTTCGAAGTGGCGCTGTGGCTCAAGTGGTAGAGCGCTGGCCTTGAGCTGAAGAGCTGGGGCTGGGAAGGTGGCTCAGTGGTAGAGTGCTTGCTTTGCATGCATGAGGCCCTGGGTTCGATTCCTCAGCACCACATAAGCAGAAAAAGCCGGAAGTGGCGCTGTGGCTCAAGTGGTAGAGCGCTAGCTTTGAGCAGAAAAGCTCAGGGATGCCGGGTGCTGGTGGCTCGCGCCTGTAATCCTAGCTACTCAGGAGGCTGAGATCTGAGGATCGCGGTTCAAAGCCAGCCCGGGCAGGAAAGACCGTGAGCTGAAGAGCTGAGGGACAGCGTCCAGGCCCAGAGTTCAGGCCCCACTACTGGACCCCCCCCCCAAAAAAAAAACTTCAAAAATACACAATTCCAATATGGAAAAATTACCATATATAATTGGTAAAAAAAAGAAATAACTTTTTAAAAACAAAAAAATGTACAAATCTAGATAAGCAACCTCTAATTTTAATCTAGAAACTTGGTTTTCTCTCTCTCTATCTCTTTTTCTTGTCAGTTATGGGGCTTGAACTCAGGGCCTGGGCGCTGTCCCTGAGTTTTTCTGCTCACGGCTAGCACTTGAGCCACAGCTCCACTTCCAGTTTTCTGGTTGTTAATTGGAGGTAAGAGTCCCATGGACATTCCTGCCCAGGCTGGAATCTTTAGATCTCAGCCTCCTGAATAGCTAGGATTGCAGCCATGAGCCACCAGTGCCCAGCAGAAACTTGGTTTTTTGTATGCCTGTAGTTCCAAAAGGCTAAGGCAGAAGGATCACTTAGGTCTAAGACCACCCTGGGTAACATAGCAAGATCATGTAAATAACAAACATGGTTGGGTGGCCCACGTACTGTTAGATGCCATAATACTAGTTCTAATTTTATGGCTAGTCATTTATCTTGACACCATAAAATGCAGGTGATAAGCCTAAATGCTTCTTTTCAAGGACTATTATTCCATATTGATAATGTCTGTAAAAGGCTTTGCAGGTTATGAGATAGGTGTATTACAGAAATCAAGGTGAGTTTAGAGTGACACTTGCTATTTCAACATACCTTTCCAAATTAGCAGAATCCCTAACAAAATTTCTCAACTATATTTGACTGTACTTTAAGGGAAAGTGACTGGCACTTGGAAATGTGAGCAACAGAAATTCCCTGCTATTTGGGCACCATCTTGTGGCATTATCTGAATATAGCAGCAGTTACAAATGGCAAGAAATGGGGGACTCCTATGTAAGTAAGATTTAGACTGGGCTGGGATTCTCCAGAAGAGTCAAGTATAACTAATTTGTCCAAAGGATGCCAGTATTTCTTAGGTAGGCAGTGTAGTTTTGATGCTTAAAACCATGGATAAGTTAAGAGGAGAGCTAACTGCAAGGCACCTTTGAAGAATATCCATCAAAAACTGGTTCTGAATTCCAAGGAAAGGAAAAAAAACAAGAAGAATGAATTATTAGAACTCAAAAATTTTAATAATAAACAAATAACAAGACAATATGGACAGTTATAAAAAAAAGCTATCCATAGTGTGAAACTATGACTGTCCCACAATCTACAATTCTAAAATCCAAACATTTCTGAAAGTAAAGTTTTTGTTTTTATTTTAAAGACTGGGCCCAAACTCATTGATAATGGTAAATCTAATCCAAAAGAATACAAGGTGTTTCAGTCTTTACATATCTCATTTAATATAGTCAGTCACACACTTTGCTGCAGATATATTAATGTTAAAGTGTTTGATTTTGGTGTTATGAAATATACATTACAGATACTGTATTATCTTTCTAAAGTTGTAAAAGTTCACACATCTGATAGCTTGTACTGATGCTTTCTACTAAAACTAAAAGCTCTATACTGCCAATAATAATGTAAATAAAAGTAAGAAGAAATTCTGTTGGCAAACCAAGACAAAACTAAGAATAATGGGAAAACAAGTCAACATATACATGGAAAAACAAGTCAACATATAAATAGAAAAAATTTAAGAAATATAGAACAGCATAGAGAAATACAGGGTAGAATGAGACTTCAAGGAGCTAAGAGCTCTCAAGCTTTTGTGTATGTGTGCGCTAGCCTTGAACTCTGGGCTTAAGCGTAGTCCTTGAGCTTTTGTGCTCAAAACCAGCTCTCTACCACTTGAGTCACAGTTCTACTTCCAGATTTTTGTGGTTAATTGGAGATAAGAGTCTTTTCTGCCCAGGCTGGTTTTGAACCACAATTCTCAAATCTCAGCTCCTGAGTAGCTAGGATACCAGGTGTGAACCACTAGTGCTGTCTACTTCATCAATTTTAAGACAAGTAACAGAAACTTAGGAAACTTAAGTGACTTCTCTAAAATTACATAATCAGTGAAAACTGAAGCTGGAATCCACTACCTTCATATATGAAAATATAATCTGAAATATCTAAAGTATCTTTAATAAGGAGAAAAGAATGCCAATAGTATCTGGTGGATTATATGAAAAATAATTCCTATAACTTTAATAATAAAAAAGGGAAATGGATTAAATAGAAAGCCATAAGGAAGGACAAGGAACTAAAGTAAAATAGAGGATTAGCATGAGATAACATTTGCAAAAACTTTCCATAAGACTTTCACTCTCTACTATAAACAAGTGGACAGAAATGACTACACTATGTGAGTTGATTTGAAATCACTGAGGGAATGGAAAGGGGCCAATTTATTGTCATATTAAAAAAGTGAATAAAGAAAAAGGGCTGCAAATGATGGACTTTCAAGTTTTACTTCCACATCTAAGAAAAATGATCACAAATCCACTTGTAGTCATCTATAGAGTAATAACACACTTTGTGAAGAACAAGCCTAGTTAAACTAATTTAATTGCTTTCTTTTATGGCATGACAGACCTAGTAGATCAAGACATAGCATAAGTAACCCTTAATTTTAGCAACATTTCAGAGTGTAACCATTAATATAATACTGGGAAAATACAATTTAGATCTCATCAGGGGGTATTTAACTCCAGAGAGAATGATTATTTCAAGGAAATATATGCTATTTATTTTAGCAATACTTGGCAAACTGGTCAGTTAGTTTTATGATTGATATTTTTTATCTCTGATTTAGGAGTTTATTAAAGAGCAACCAAGAGCATGGTGGCACATCTAATCTCTTAGCACTTGGAGGCTGAGGTAAAAGGATGGTGAGTTTCAGTCCAGCTGAGGCTGTATTTCAAGACCCTGTCTCAAGAAAACAAAAACAACTGACACCAAAAAACAGGTAAATACTGCATGGGGGCGGGGAGGAAATCACACTAGAAGTATATACTCCAGTAACAAGGAAGACCAAAAAATTACCTGAAGGCCTAGATTATGAGGCAGTAATGTAGCATTGCAGAATAAGAGAACTCCTAAAAAAGTTTCCAGGAGGAATCAGCTGTAGTGAAATTTATCTTATTATAGTTGACTAAGTTGACAGACGATTTTATGGTTTAGTGGTTTAATTAATCAAACTAGATGATCAAATTGTTTACTTACTCTGTCTTTTAGGCCTATGAACCAAAAGATGGCCTTTCAGAGCCAGCTAATTAATCACTTCCTCCCAAGAGTAAAAAGAAACAAATTTTGAAATAAAATTATAGGGTAGCTTATTCTGAGAGGCAAT